TCATCTGTTCCCTTCATTATACTTTGTTTCACATAATTAACATTCTAACGTTAATTTAATAAGGGAAAAAAAAAAAAAAAAAACAGCCTAACTGCGTAAGTGTAGTTTCCTTCTTCCTCCCTGATCCTTTCTTTGGATTCTAAATGGATTTTCTCTTCAAGAGTAGTGAGAGGATCAACTGAAGAAAACAGCAAGCATGAATGATTTCTTCTACTCTTTTTCCCCTCTTCTTCTGCACTTGGGTTATAAATTTGTCCTATGTGTTGTCCTAGAGGCTAATTAGCTACAGACACTCTTCAAATACAGTCTAGCTCAGATCATACTAAAATTTTTGCTTGGGTGTGGCACGTTGGTTGTTCTAGGCATTCAAATTCTTCATTTACTCATTCAATTGGTTGTCTTTTCAAGCAAATCATTTCCAAGAAGACCTGCAGAAACACTGAAAAAAAATTTTAATTTTATCTATTATTATTTTTTTTAAATTTGCTATAGAGCATGTGCACTCACCAGAGAGAGACAGAGAGAGGGAAAGCGAGAAGGCAAGCTGCCAGATCTGAGACTAGAACTATGGCTGGCCATGTGGGAGTCCAGCATCCCAACCACCATGCCATCTGCTGGACCCAACACTGAAGGAATTTTAGAGTGCCACAAGTGGACCAGAGAAGGTTATCTAAAGATTATCTTTGACAATGTTCTTCCTTGAACCCATTTCAGCTTCCTCCTCCCCCTTCTGCTCTCTCCAAGATGACCAACCTGCTCAGGCAGTCCCGTCATACCCACATTGTCCTTTTTGATGATAACTTCATAAAGGCAGAAGGGAAGTGTGGTGGTGGTGGTTCTTAATGCAATACTCCATCAGAGATTGAGTTTATGGCACCAGTGGTCCACATAAGGCTTCATCAGGGCACCCTCAGTATATCCAACACCTCTCTGCCTGCTCCAGTAAGATAATCACAGGCTTCAGAAAAAGCTGGGACTTAAGAAATATCCACTGCTTGGGGCCAGTAGGCGGCGTGGTGGTTAAGGATATTAGATTCCCACATGGCCAACAGTGATTCGCGTCCCAGATCTGGTGGCTTGCTTTCTCACTTTCTTTCTTTCTCTCTCTCTCTCTCTCTCTCTCTCTCTCTTTGTCCCTTTCTGGTCAAATTAAAATAAATAAGTGGATAAATAAAGTTAAATAAAATTATTCTTGTTTTGTTTTGTTTTGTTTTGTTTTTTGAGAGGTTTCTGCTATAGGGCATGTGTGCTTGCCAGAAAGAGAGAGACAGAGAGACAGAAAGCGAGAAATCACCCCCCCAGGGGGGATGACCACACCATAATCCCTCCTCTTTCATTTTCCTCTCAGGATCTTGGGCATACACACACATCCACCCAGTGTGAATTTAAGCCACCAGGTCCAGGACTCAAACCATGGTCAACTACATGGGAGTCCAGTGACATAGTCATTATGCCAACTGCTGGTCCCAAATAAAATAATTCTTAAAAAAAAAAATAAATAAGCATTAGAAATATCTACTGCTCATTTATTTGACCCTTCCCCCATGTCTACTAACTGCTACTCTCCTACTACCTGTCTTCTCCAATTTTTAACCATCTTTTATCTTATTCCCACTATCTTTTGCATTGTTCTGAATCCCACCTTCATTATTTATCACGTCTCAGACAACCACACAAAAGCTTTTGAAAAATTGAAATTAGATCATAATTTTATACAGTACACAAATATCCCTAGGCTTAATGTCCCCCTGGACTATTCTCCTCCTAAACTGCTTTTTCACTTAGGATCTTTCAGTAATGAGTAACCAACTGGAATACTTAGAAAATATTATTTGCTGGTCACAGCAACATATAAGTCATTATATAAGAAGTTTAAGGACCAGACAAGAATTTTGGTCATATATTCAACAAGCCAGAAGATAATCTTTCAATATGGGAAACTCAGATCCTATACAGTCATGGTAATAGTAGAAAATAATTCTGAAACTTAATAGTTGGCTTTCCAAACAAAAACAATCATGAAAAATGGATGGAACTCCTGACACCAAACATAACTGAGTTTTTCTGAGGAAATTACAACAATTGAAAAATGTCCTAGTTAGAAACACTTTTAGCTGCCATTAAGAAAGGAGTTTCCAGGACCAGCAGATGGCGGAATAGTTACATTGCTGGACTCCTATGCAGATGATAGTAGTCCAAGTTCAGGAGCAGGCAGAGCACATGTGCACGCATGCCCAAAATCCTGAAAGGAGAATGGAGGAGAAGGGATTGCAGTGTGGCCATGCCCCCCCAAGAAGGTGATTTCTGTCCCTCTGTCTGGTGAGCATACACACCTTATAGCAAAAATCTCTCTCTTAAAAAAAAAAAAAAAAAGAGTTTTCAAATACAATAAAAAATAATAATAAATGAGGGCCAGCGGTTGGCACTGAAGTTAAGGTGGCTGGATCCCACATAGCTGACTCCTCAGTTTGATTACTGGACCCAGGGCTTGAAAATCATGCTGGACATATGTGCATGTGTGTCCAAAATCCAAAGGAGGAAAAGGGATTGTGGTATGGCCATCCCTCTGGTGGGTAATTACCCACTCTATCCACCCCTGTCTGCTGAGCACATGAGCCCTATAACAAAAAATAAAATAAATAAATGAGAGGTGCCCTTCTAAACCCATTTAAGACATAGGTACAGGGGCCAGCCAGTGGTGTGGTGGTTGAGATGCTGGACTCCCACATCAACCATGGTTTAAGTCCTATACCTGGAGGCTCACTTTCTCTCTCTCTCATCAAATAATAATAATAATACATAAAAATAAGCAAATAACTCTGTAAAAAAAAATAGCTAAAAAGTCTTTCACCAGGGCCACATTAAAAGAATAATAAAAGAAAAAGTATAGCCCCATAGACCAGTAAAACAAAAAAAGACATGCAATCCATAAAGCAACAGTCCAAAATCACAGAGCTTGAAATGAAAAGAGGCAAAGCTAGAACTCAGCCTTCCTAAGTTTCAATCTTATTTCCAACCTATTCTACAAACCACCTCCTTATTCAACATGACTTTGGTCAAAGTTCAAATGCAGGAAACTATGACAGCCAAGGTCCCCATCATAAAGTTGCAAAGCTAGGAGTTGAAAATAGGTTAAAATGTGACCCATATCAGAGTGTAATTGCATTGCAGAATCACTGGAGGGAAGAGGCAAGGGTGGTGAAAACACCTGACTGGGGACCAGGTTTACTCGAAAAACTCATGATCAAACTTGTTCAAATCACTTGCCCTCTTCGTGCCTTCTCAGATCTCAACCCCGCCCCCCCCACACACACACCTGCTCTATTAGATAATTCTGACCCAAACTTGTGAAGTGTGGCTTCCAAAAATGTGGCTTTTAGAGATAAAAGGGAGGCTTCTTAGACCTAAACCCAGGAGGCATCTCAATTCCTCTCTTTCACCTACATAACAATTGCCTAGAGTCTTCCTGTAAGGCATATCTCATTGAATTATTAGCATTTCCACTGCCTCCTTTCTCAAAGCCAGAGTCCTTCCCACGGCCTAGAATGCCTGTTGCATGACTACTCCTTGCCTCTTTTACTTTATCCCCCCTCTTTCCTGTTCTCCCCTCCAGCCATACTGGTATTATGCCTCATACCCCAGGGCTTGCTCTTCTCATTTCTTCACATCCTCAGGTATCTGCACAAATATCACTTCCTCAGAGACACCTTCTTTGATGACTCCATGTAAAGAGCACCCACCTAATCCCAGTAGCCTCTATTCTTCCTAGTTCTTTTTCCTGGTCCTTATCAACACTACTCAAATTATCTTTAATTTCTCTCCTTGCCCACGAGAATATAAGCTCCATAAGAACAAGTGCTGGTTGACATCCAGGAAGAGAAAGTTTGTTAGAGAATTCCAGGAGGCTGGCGGATGCCTCTCCACTGCTTTTCAGAAGGACTCAACCCTCCAGGTGAAGATACTTCTTCATTTCTGCACAAATCATTTCACTTCCTCTTATTTCCATAACTGAACAAGATTTGTTTGTCCATTACTGAGTCCTTGATACTTTGAGAAAAGAGCATTTATAATGAAAAGCTTGGGAAGGCTTTTTGGCAATTAGCGAGCAAACACTGACGTCAGCAGAGTGATTCTCATCAATGCTGTGTTCAAGGCTCTCAACAAGTCGGGCTACACATGCCATTTGCGATCACTGGAGCTAGCTGGTTTAAACTTTTCAGGCTGGGAGTGTGGCAATGAGTGAGGCAAGCCACAGGCTCCAAGTGGTTATTATTTCCATTACTAATTGCATGCAGCACTAAATTATCTTCTCATGGTGAAATAACAAGTAGCCATCTGAGCCAATTTCCCTTTCAGTTCTCCCGAGGTCAGCAAGATCCCTCCTGGGTAAGGGGACTATTCTATTAGCCCCCTTCTTTTATAGTTATAAGGACACTGCTTTCCAGCTTCGTGAAAGTTTCTCTCTACACTTCTGTCTCAACCAAGCATTTATAAACTGGGTTTTCTGTAGTCTCATTTCCCCAAACTGCCTAAACTAAACCTGAAGGCAGACTAGATCAACTCTCAGAGCGACTCCTTCGGCAATCTCTCTCCTCACACGCTGCTATCAAGCTCGAGGCCCTTTTTTTTTTTTCCTTTCTATGGAATCAAATGACTAAACTTAATTAGGACATAGACAGAAGTTCCTGGCAGAGCAACAGTATAATACTTAAAACATCATGAGAAAGTAACAAAAGGACCCACATCGTGATCTAATCACCCCAAAAGGGAAACGTCTTTAAGAAGCTGTAAAGAACTGTCTCCAAACTGACCCTCAACCTGGAACCTCATGAAGCCATGGAGCCAGGTCTTCGTCCTGGGAGACCCCTCATGTAGGATGCGGGGAAGGCTCTTCTTTCATATAGAGTATTGTGAAAATGCTGCATTTTCTTTTCACTAACATAAGCAGTATTCTTCGGTGGCATCCCTCAGTCCCCAGCCCATGATTCTCTCAGCCTCACCGACAGATGTCCACCAGCTGGTCCAGCTCAGGGCAGCTGCACTCGTACAAGTCCCGGCAGCTCGTGTGGCTCTGGTTCATCAAGTCCCCCAGCAGCTGGACCATGTTGTCAGGTGATTCTTCACATATCTTCTTAAACTGGAGCACTCGGGCGGCCTCACTGTACACGTGTTTTGCCCGCTGGTAGAGTTTGAAGATGGGCACTAGGACAGGAGGGGAATGAAGGAGGAGGTTAGACATAGTTACTGTGTAACCTATTACAAACAAAAATACCAGTTTGAGAATTTCCATTTCTGTTTTCATTATTAATACCTTAGACTTTAAGTAGGTCTCTTGTTGAAAGAATTTTTTATAGTTGAAATTTGTCTATTTACAAGTCAGTTTTACTTCTTTCTTGATACTAAAATATTGTATTATTTTCTTCGCTTCATATACCCAGATATATGTACATGCAAACTAATCCATCCCACAGGAAGGGAGAAGTAACACGTATCGAGCACTCCCTGTATCAGACACTATAAAAACACCACTTAGTGTAGTTCTCATCTCAGCCCTGAGAGCTGAGCATATCCCTGGGGCCAGTAGTTGGCATAATGGCTATGTCGCTGAACTCCCATGTGGTAGACCGCGGTTTGAGTCCTGGACTTGGTGGCTTAAACTCACACTGGGTGCGTGTGCATGCGTGCCCAAGATCCAGAGAGGAGAATGAAGAAGGGATTGCAGAGTGGACATTCCCCTGGTGATTTCTCGCTTTCTGTCTCTCTGTTTCTCTGTCTTTCTGGTGAGTGCACACGCCCTATAACAAAAACCTCTCCAAAAATAAAAGAGAGAGAGAGAGAGATGAGCAGATCCCTGTTTAACAGCCAAAGGGAAGAGGCTTAGCAGAGTGACATGCCTCAAGTCACACATCCAGAAAGTGGCAAAGGCAGAATGGATCAGGGCTGCATTCTTTCCACTGTGCCCCACCTGAAAGAACTACTGACAGCGCTTATGCTGACAATTAGATTTTTGAAAAAATGTATCCTATTTATATTTGTATATAATACATAATATGTAATCCTTGTGTTTATTAGTATGTACCTAAGTATCCTATAGCACTATTTATCACAGCAGAAAATAGAAACAATTCAAATATCTAATAACAGGACCCTAAAAAAAATTGCTATTAAAATTCAGATTCTTTTTTTTTTTTTAAAGGTTTTGTCATAGGGTACATGCACTCACTGAAGAGAGACAGTGAGAAGGAAAGTGAGAAATCATCCCCTGGGGGGCGGTCACGCTACAATCTCTTGTCCTCTCTTCTCTCGGGATTTTGGGCACACGTGCACATGCATTCAGCATGATTTTCCAGCCTCCAGGCCCAGGACTTGAAACGGTCGAACACGTGGGAGTCTGGCACTTCAATCACTGTGCTACCTGCCAGCCCCAAAACTCAAATCCTAAAACGATTTGCTACATGGGATAGCCTAGATGGCCTCCAGAACGGTGAGAATTAATTTCTATTGTTTAAGCTACCAGTGCAAGACAGTTTTATTACAGCAGCCCAAACTAAGACACCATTCTGAGGACTTGTGCAAAAGTTTAGTAATTATAAGGATAGAACCACATTACCTATAAATTAATGAAGAATTAAAAGTTCTCTTTCAAAGATTCTCAACTAACATGGGATATATTAAATTTATCTTTAACTAGTTATATCAATGAAGTGATGCAGATTCTTTTGAGTTTTCCTGTTCTAAGAGGACCTATATTCAGTCATTAAATCAAATTGGCTCTTCTTCCCCAATACATGTCACCAATCATGTAACCATCCCTCTCACCTATTCCCACTGTCAGTATCCAAATTTACACTTGTGTTCTCTTTCCTACCTGTACTATTAGGTCGTCGGGAAAATCATGATGTATTTTTCTATGCAAAGATGCATCATAACTATCCCAACAACCCAGTATTTTCCTCATAATTGATATCCCTGTCGTGGTCACTGCTCCCTGCTACCTACCTTTTGGTCAACAGTAAGCCAGCCTTATTCGTGTTACTACCCCAAACCTTTACTGTTTCCTCAGAGTTTACCATAACCTGAGTTTCTGCACTCCCCATGCTTTGTCCTAGTAAAATTCTTCCCTCCTGCCACACTGAACTATTTTTAGTCAGCCTAACGTTCCTTGCTTAGTAGCCCCACACAGAAAGAGCTTCTTGCCCTTTCTCTCTCAAAATGTTACTGCTTTCTGAAAGTTCAGTTTAAATTTTATAACATCCGTGAAGCCATGATAGCCTCAGCTGGAAACAATTTTTGGACACTGAGTCTGCAGCACACTTGCAGTGCATGGCACTCAGCTGGTGCTTATCATACACTTTCTATCGTGCTTTTCCTCTAGCTCTGCAGAGCCTGCATGCCGCTAAAGACAAAGCTTTCTTCCCTGTTTCCCCCAGTTCAGCTTTGCATACCAGAGTCACAGCATGATAGTCTTAAGGCTGAGGAAAGGGACAGCGAGATTCCCTTGCTATTAAATCTGTGACTGCTGACACCAAGTGTGTATGAAAAATAAGAAAAAAAGAGACGTTGCAAGTTACATGTAGGTGGGAATGAGAACAACATGTTTTGTTCAGTAGCAGGTCATGTGAATCAGCCCACAATGCAACATGAATTTCTTTTATTTCCATCAGTCAGTTCATTTGAAATAGCAAGATGATTTATTTTAGGGTCAAAATATCCTAAGGGGAAAAGTCTTACCAATACCCAATACTGGCAAATACTGTCTACAAAGAACACACCATCTGAAGAAATGGCACAGGAGGATGTAACAGTAACTCCTTAAAATCTGAATCTGAGAGGGAAAATGAAAGGCAATTGACTGGCATATCCGTGCTTGAGACCATGGCAATCATCTTCTATATGTTAATATAATCCAGGTTATAGGATATACATTTTTAAAGGAAAAAAATGACTTCAGTAGCTGTAGTTTAAGATTATTCTTTCATAAAATTTAAAACAAGATGTTTAAAATACCAGCTTTAGGATTCCATGTGTTTCAGTTTTACTTTTGAACTATTTTACCTCCCATAATTGTAGACTTAGTTACAGAATCAGAGCATAGTAGGGAGGAAGAAAGAATATTGTTTCGGGACCAGCAGTTAACGTAATGGCTGGGTCGCTGGACTCTCACATGGTCGACCGCGGTTCAAGTTCCGGACCCGGTGGCTTAAACTCACGCCAGGTGCGTGTGCGTGCGTGCCCAAGATGCCGAGAGGAGAATGGAGGAGAAGGGATTGCGGCGTGGCCATCCCCCTTGGGGGGTGATTTCTCCCTTTCTATCTCTCTGTCTGGCAAGCGCATGCGCCCTGTAGCAAAAACCTCTCAAAAAAAAAAAAAAGGAAAGAGTATTGTTTCATTTTTATGGTAATCGCTCATGGATGACGAAATCACCTAGTTTCCATGTTCCACCATTTATGGCTGCAACACCAAAAGTACAATCTTTAAATAAGTTATAGATTATTCATATATTTCCTCTTTACATATATATAAAGGATGTATTGCTATAAAATAGGGATTTTTTTTTTATATAACCAGTATTTCATTATCACACCTAACAAAACAACCAATGATTTCTTAACATCACCCCATATCTAGCCCATATTTAAATTTTCCCAGATGTTTACCAGCTACCATATTTAAATTTTCCCAGTTGTTTTCCAGTTTTAATGTCTAATAAGTCTCTCTTAATCAAAAATTTACAGTGACTTTTTATATTCTGAGTTCTTGATATCATATCTACAACTCAATATAACCCCACTAGGAAGAATATGCTCTGGCTTTCCTTTAAGGCTAAATATATTTCTTTAGGATTAAATATTTTAAAGTAGAAAGTGTCCAGAGAGATCCTTTTTATTAATCTGTAGGACTGGTGTTTTGATTTGGAAAAAGAAACTTTTAGAAAGCACTGAGAGGACCAGCAAATGGTGTATTGGTTGTGTTGCTGGACTCCCACATAGTCAAACGTGGTTTGAGTCCTGAACCTGGCGGCTTAAAAACCTCACGTTGGGCATGTGTGTGTGCATGCAAAAATCTCTCTTAAAAATAACTCATGCCAGGCACATGTGCGTGCGTGCCCAAAATCCCACGAGGAGAATGGAGGAGAGGGGACTGTGACATGACCATCCCCCTGAGGAGGGTGGATGATTTCTTACTTTCTGTCTCTGTCTTTCTGGACAGCGCATGCACCCTATAGAAAAAAATCCCTCAAAAAAAAAAAAAAAAAAAAAAAAAAGCATGCTCTGAGAAGATTATCAGAGCCTTGCAATCCTGGCACCTTTTTGAGTCTATTCTGTCCTTGCAGGGTAGTGTTTCACAGCCAGGCTTCTAGATAGGAATGCCTAACAAGGACTCGTGTGGGGCGTTCTGAAGGTGCGTGAGAGATTGCCATGGCTCACATCTCCTGAACGGTAGTAACTCAGACAACGAGGGAAAGGGCAGAAAGGGCATCTGTTTTCCATTGTGATAGGATAGTCGTGCCAAAGGCTACAGCAGATCTGGAGACCACCCTTCGGGAGGGAAAGCAGTCCTGTGTTGGCGAGAATCACGAATGCTCTCTGGATCCAGTGTTCTGGCTTGTTAAGTGCTGGCAACTCATCAGGTCTCTGTTGTACAGATACCAAAAACCCCAAGAAATTCTGAAACTTTGTCCATAACAGCTTTCTTCCCTGTCCAGTTAACTTTATAACCAGATGTCCCATCTGTCTATAAGCTCTTGTAATCCTTGAGAGCAATTATTACATTAAAGGATAAAGGAAGCTGTTTCTTACTATGTTCATTGCATGCGTGATTACTTCCAAGGCAAATTCAATTTAAGAAGATAACACTAGATGCTGTTTTCCTACAATACTACTAGTGGCCTACAATATCCATGGGAAATTTAGACTTCGAAGTAGCATATGTCACATCAACTTGAGAACATTGGTTTTCTCCAGTGTGAATCTTAAATAATTACTGAATCTAATCCAAAAATTATGACACAGATGCTGAAATTTAAACATTCGTGGTCATACACATTTAAACTATGAAATAAATATGTCATTGTTGTTGAATAATTTCCACATGTATAATAAATTTTATTTGCTAACTATAAATTGTCCTTTCCTTCTGTTTTCATCCGTCCTCCCCTATGCCTTTCCCAGCCACAGTGGTTTCCTCTCTGTGCCCCCAGT